ATATCTTTCAGGTAATGTTTGCCTGTGTCCTTATAGTGTAGCTTTGGACCTCATGCAGCTTTTATCCCCCTTACCAGTTTGCCATTCAGGAAATCTTTCAGTATGAAACCATCCTTCATGTGAGAGACATGTCACATTTAACACAGACATCTTTGCTTCAGTAGAGAGTACATTGTTGGCATTCCTGCTGTTTTAAGTACACATTCATTGAGGTCAAAGTCTCGCCATGAAATACCAAGAATGCGTCTCATACACATATGTGTGTGGAAGGTATTCAGTCTTTTTCTTTAAGAGCATACAGAGTCTAAGCTTCACTGTGGTAAAGAAGCGTGTTGGGACACAGGCTTCATAAACTTTAATTTTGGTCCTACCCATAAGCTTCTTGTTTGACATGACTCTTTGTTGTGAGTCTGGAAAGCCCTGCAGAAGCCTTTCCTATTCATCTGTTTAGTTCTGCATCTAGGAAAGATTGTCTGCAATTCAAGAGCCTAGGTATTCATACTCATGTACAACCAACAACTCATTATTGTGAATGCTAATTCTTGGTGGGTTTACCACATTCATCCTCATCACTTGAGTTGTTGCTGAGACTGATAGTCATTCCACATTCTTTACTTGCATTTACAGAACGATTCATGAGAATCTGCAGATCATTGTCGGTGTGTGCAGTAATGGCTACATCATCCACAAACAGAAAGTTCCTTAGGTATCTTGTCTGCACCTTAGTCCTTGCATGGAAGCCTGGAAAAGGTTTCCATCTGACCTCGTACGGAGATACATTCCTTCAGTGGCTGTCCCAAAAGCACACCGAAGCAATACAGTTGAGAAGATGCCTAACAATGTGGGACGCAACCCTGCTTTTTTATACCACTATGAATCTGAAAGGATGACGAATCTTTGTATATGACGATGAAGGCAGTAAACAGTGACTTCTGTTTTCAAGGATATAACTGCCTGTATCTATGAGTGACGCATAACATATGTTAAAGTTTTTTTTTTTTTATGCAGTTTTTTTTTATTACAAACATATCTATTGTCTTTGGAAATGGTAAAAGTATGTTTAATGTCATATTATTATAAACACAGCTGTGATATTTAGACGGTTTAATACTATAAAGATTTCACTAAGACTATGATATATTACAGATTTGTTTAATGCACTGTTTTAAAAACAAACACCTCTATAGTCATATTTTCATATAACTTTACAACCATTTGCAGCAAGGTGCTTAATTTACAATACTATAGTCATTTATGTTAATTAATTAATGCTAATTAGAGTGGCTCAGAAGTTAGATATATGGTTTCACCGTGCAATCCTCGATGTTTATAGGGGTTCGATTTTCATGGTGGACAGTTTAGAAAAGACTGCTCATGGCTTCTGGACACTGGTACAAGAGTTGTACCTTGGAGAAGATTGGAGACTGACCACATGATGTTCCCACAATTAGCAGTCATAACTTTGCAGCCAACCTCTATTGTGAGGATGGCACCATTATTTTTGTTTCTTTAGTCATTAATTTGCTGTCAGGTTTTAAGTTTTCTAGCTAAAAGTTAAAACTGAAATCTACACCCAGTGTTGAATTAAATTAATACAGAGATAACATTTCCTTCATTTTTTTCCCTAGTAAATACTGGCCCAAAAGTCAACTAGAAATGAGATGGTAATATATTCATTGAGCTGTGACAGATACAGCAATGGTTGTGGTGGGCTGTGCACAAATGACATGTTATCAAACCACAATGTGGCAAACTACTGAACTTATAATTGCCTAGTGTAACCACAAACAACCAAAAAAATACTGGAGTTGGTTCTGCAGTTGTCCTGTAAGGGATTTGCAGCTAACTTTTTAAATTCTTATAACTATAAATAAAAGAAACATGTTTTTTTTTTTTTTTTAAATTCATTTTCCTTGATCCATGCTAAATGGTATTGGTGCTCACATCTGCCCTCATCTTTCTGTAATGTCGATAATTTCTCATACAAATACTGTGTATCTCGGTAAAAAAGACATTGTTTTCTTCGTCCTCATTGATCATCCAACTGATTTCATTGCATTAAGAACTTTTTCTTAATTCAATTGACTGAGTGTATTGCATTGAATGTTCGTCATCCTATGAAAAGTTCCTTTTGCTTGGGTTACTCTAATTTAACTTCTTTAATATATCTTCCATCCCTTATCAAGATAAATCTTTGAACATATTGACTTGTTTCACTCTAGATCCATTTACTTTGATGCTTTTGAAGGAAATTAATGTAAATCAGGTAAATATTAATACACGAGGAGACAGAGTCACAAACGTCAGCATTAGAGACAAAGTTGGAACAAGAGCATGCATGGAACATATTGAAAGACAGAGAATGAAGTGGTTTGGCCATTTAGTAAGAATGCAACCGGATCAGATTGCCTATAAGGCCTTTTACAGTAGAACATCGGGAAGAAAGGCCAGAGGAATACCCAGGAAAAAATGGATAGATGGAGTAGCTGAATACGGCCAGAAGATCCAGAAAACTGTCACTCAAATCACGCGAGAGGCACAAAACAAATATTTTAAACCACGACACTGGGCTGCAACCCGGTAAAAGTGAAGAAGACAATAGATAGATAGATAGGTAAATATTCATTTCTTCGAGCGGTACCTAATAATTCAGATACAAGGTCAAAAAAGAAGATATCAATTACTTGCTGAACTCAGTGCATATTATATTTAAATTTGTAAGGAATATATTTCAACTGGACAAAGAGACAGAAACATTAAATATGTTAAACTCTGTTTATATTTAACTGAAATGGCCATGGTTATTTTGACAAGTTTTTTTTCTATGCTGTTTCCTGTTGGATAAATCATAATGGGTCATCTACAGTGGTTCTGTTTACTTGTCTTGTTTGTAGTTTGTAAATAATGAACAGACATTTTGTATACCTATAACCTCCATGGTTATTGCATTTTTAGTGTGTGGTTTCTTTTTTCACTAGCATGTAATTGTGTAAATAGTATATTGTTAATTTTTTGATATGTGTATCTATCAGCATGCTAACTTGTAAATTTCACATCATAAACTAATGGAAAGCTAGAGGGAATTTTTAAAATATTTGTGTAATATTTTTTTTGAGTATTCTGTTTTTGACATATAATCTGTAAACAAATTCCTTAAAAACTGAAATAATTAAACAAATAAAAATGTATTTTATACGATGTAGGAAATAATATTAGATATTAGAATGTATTTAAAATGAATAAAAAGGGTTTAAAGTCAAAAGGACTGATTTCATTGCACCAGGTTATATCCCAGATGGTTCAGTCTCTCTCCACCTGGCTATCCACCTGCAGTGACTGTTGCAGAAAGCATAAACTCTTTAACTGTACTGACAATCCCAGGGATTTCTATAAAAATTTGCACTTGTGAACCAAATCATAGTTTATGAAATTAACCTATGACCTTTAGAATGAGAGACTAATGGCTTGACCGCTTAGCTATGGATATAAGACCTGCCTTGCAGACTATGGGTTTGACAGTGTCCAAGTATTAGTTTATTAAGGTTATGTGGAATTCTTTTGTGTAAAGCAAAGTGTGTTGTTATGATATCTTAAATATAATGGATAAGATCAATTATATGAAGATGCAGACTGAAGTTTTCAGTGAAAGTATAACAAATAATGCATGGCTTTATCAGTTTTAGAGGAACTGCTGTAGCCTAGAGGTTAGTGTTCTTGCTTACCACAGCAGTGGTCATTTATAAACATCATATAATTTCCAAAAATATAATAAAAAGGTACACTAAAGGTAATATAAAAACAGCATTTTCCTGTTGTGAATTTAAATAATGTGGACACCAACAGTATATTTCACGGTTTTTTGCCTGACACAGTTCACTGTATCTTGTCAGGTTCATTATTGGAAAATTACACTGATGTATAGTGAAGCACAAATATGAGTCGTTTCAACTGAAATACACAGATCACATTGTCTTTGATTAAACTGTACACCCCACCATGGAAGTCTAAGATTAAACCTATGATTCTTTTGTTTTTATAAGGGTAACCTCAAGGCAAAAAGTGTTGTAGAGATGTGAAATATTCGGGAATAATTGCACTATGCCGTGGCACAATGAGTTTCTTGCTGCCTTCCTGTTTAGATAATTCTGAGCATTATTGATTACTCATTTTACAAGGCTGGTAAACCCTCGAGGCAAACCATTTCTGACAACATTACTGTTACACCTGGAGGTTAAACCTAAACCACTGTATTAGTTAGCAAGCATACAAACCACTAAACCACCACATCACATAGTACAATATTGTATTCAAAATAATAATAGCTAGTTCCTAGATGGAAAGTAAGGAAAAACTACAATTATTTACACATTTTTAGTTTATCAGCAGTCTAAAAGTAAATGCCATGGACTTTTCTGTTGAAACAAATGTAATAATTTTCTTAAGACTTATTTGGCATTGTTCTACAGTTTTTTTGTTTTAACCATATACAGTTGAAGCATTTTTCAGCTGTGTTTATCTGATCTTGTTGTAAAGTATTTCTGTAACATACAGTCATAAAATTCTTGAAAAGATATCAAAGCAAACAAAAGTAGAACAAGTAAGCTTCACATTATCACAAGCTCAAACAAGTGAATGAATGCTGGGGCTGCAGTCTTCATAAGCACAACAGATAAATATACAACACCATAAACACGAACAAGAATAAACAAAATCACATTAACTGAAGTGTCTCTAAGAGAAATCACAGATCTGTCTGGCCAGTGGAATCTCTGACATGTGTGTGACCACCAGAAATTAATATTAGCCCAAAAAAAAAAAAAAAAAAGGGCTGTGAACGGCTAGTTTCATAACTAAAACATATCAGATTAAAACTTTGCTGGATGTTAAATCCTCTAGGCGAATTGGAGCCCATTAGACAGATTTGTCAGTCATTCTCTTATAATATTTATGCAAGCAACATATAGTCAGACTAAAATTTTCTGTATTGTCTTATTCTATAGTCCAAGTCCAGGCCCAGATGCTCCAGACTTCCTAGTGGTGCAGACACCTCAAGACACCTTGCAGCCCATCAGTGGCACACAGACCCCGAACACTCCCTACATCCCATCTCCTAGTGCTAGCCAGGCAAACTTGCAGACTGGACGAGGTTCTAGCGTGGTATGTAATTTTGTTTTTGTCCAGCATTGTGTTTACATGTAGCTGTGATACCGACTGATGCAAGATGTCACAGGAACTTTTGCCATCACTTTAATGATAGTGCATGGGCCCATTCTTAAAGGGTGACATTTACCAAAAAGGAGAGAGAGAAAGAGATATGTTTACAATTTCAGTAACATCCGTTTCTTACTGTCTCCTAATCCCAAAGGAGAAAGATAAATGAGGTAGGAAAGAAAATAGAAATAAAAAGAAGGAAGGGAAGTGAGAAATATATGGAGGTAAGGGAAGAGGGAAGTAGAAGGAGAGAAGGGGTGAGAGAAATAGAGAACAGGAGGGGGAACGAAGAGAGAGAGAGAGAGAGAGAGAGAGAGAGAGAGAGAGAGAGAGAGAGAGAGAGAGAGAGAGAGAGAGAGAGAGAGAGAGAGAGAGAGACTCTTTAACAAGTTCATCACTGTCATATTTTTATTGTCTCATTATCCAGAGGGTCAAATAGATGGAGAAGAAGAAGAAGAAGAAGAAGAAGAAGAAGAAGAAGAAGAAGAAGAAGAAGAAGAAGAAGAAGAAGAAGAAGAAGAGGAAGAAGAAAAAGGGAAAGAAAGTGGAAAAGTCATTTGACAAGATGCTATTTCATTTTTCATAATCCAGATATATAAACATATGCTTTTTAGAGCTTTATATGGTAATCCTAGTTACAGCTGTAGAAGCCTTGTGTGACTATGTATGTATCATGTATTGTTAAATGGTTAACACAGGATAGATACATACATTCACTACCTGGATATTGAGGTTTGCCTCTAGTCACTTAGTTTGTGTTCTGCTGTTTGGAGAAAATCTAAGTCTTCCTAAGTCTATCAACTTTTGCATTGACAAAGTACTACAGCTTCATTGTTTCCTGTGTTTGTGATCTTTGTAATCATGTACAAGTTGTAAAGTCAGAATTCTTCAATTTATTTACAATCCCTAATGTTGTGTGCTTATATCTTGTACTGTTACTATTTTATTGAATAATTAATTTCCTTTTCCTGCGCTTTTCTTACTTAATATATTGTACCCTCTTTATTTAGCTGATATTTGCTGATTGTCTTGAATCCTCTTGGGCTAATGCAGTCCATAACTTGAGGGTTTGGCATCATCAATGCTGGCATGTTTTCCAAAGCTCTGAGTTCGCCTCATTAACAGTTGTGCAAGCAATATTATATCTGCCTTATAAACTGAGATTCTTTAATGCGCTCCCTTTTATCTGACTCATCTTTGTTTTATAAAAAGCAGAACTGTTGCATAATTCAATGTGTTTTTTTTTTTTTTTTTTTCAATATTGAAACATCATAGGTATTTCAATGTTTACTGATAATAATTAGATCAAATTAAATTTTAAAATATGTTTATGTTCGGGATGATAAATAATTTTCACACAATATTCAAATTTCATATTCTGGCAATGCAAAATTATGTACTATAGAAAAAAAAAAAAAAAAAAAAATGCACTGCCATTTATCTGATCTGATCTTGACTAGCTGATAAAAATCACCTAGAAATTGAGTAATTGAATATTCCAATGTTTTCCAGTAAGTAGAGAACAATTTATTGCCTGTTGCCAACTTCTGGGACCAAAAGGGGAAAGTGGGGGGGGGGGGGGGGGGGGGGGTGGGGGGGGGGGGGGGGGGGGGTGGGGGGGGGGGGGGGGGGGGGGGGGGGGGGGGGGGGGGGGGGGGGGGGGGGGGGGGGGGGGGGGGGGGGGGGGGGGGGGGGGGGGTTAACTCATTGCCCTTTACAATCATGTAAAAAATCAATGAATGTTAAGGGATTCCCAAAATCAGATTATTAGGGCTGAAAGGTACATGTATAAAAATCTTTTAACAATTCTGCTTATTTGTATGCAGCCTGTCTTACCTCCTCTCAAGCAGGTGCGCTCTGATTTCTGAGGAAAATCCCAAATTTGTTGCCTTTTACGACATAATTTAAAGATGGACACACGTTAATAGAGAATAGACCTCATTTCTTGGGCCTTTAACAAGCTAAACTGGCAAGTTTATTGACCAAATATGGATGTTGGTCGGTCTTGCAGAATTCTCATGTCATCATGAGGACACGGGTGAGGAGTATTATCTGGATTTTTTTCACCGGGCGACGCCGGTGTGTTGGGAAATGAACAGGCGGACAGACTGGTTGGCTCTGCAAAACTTGGTGGAATACTGATACATGATAAGGCAGACGTGGTTAGTGCCTTGTGGGAGAGCATGTACAGTTCGGAGGAGCAGATGGATCACCACAGTCTGGTGAGATTGATGTAGCAAGTAGTGATGAGAGGTTCTGGCAGATGCTCATTGCTCAGAGAAAAGGCAAGACGGACGTTTAATCAGAATGCTACTGGCACCATAAGTATCAGAACTCTTTGCTGGCTGCTGAAGATGGGGACAGAACGCTTATGAGAATGCCCTGGGTGCTGTGATGTCGGTTCTTGAATCAGATCAAATCAAATCATGTCACCATAAAGAGTTTTTGACAAAGTGGAGACGAGCGTTGGTTTAGTACCCTGTTGGATAAAGATTTACGAGCATTGTATAGACAGACATAAACATGAAACCTTAGTGAGAACTGTCAGACAGAATGGGAAAAGAACATTATGAAGACACAGGGACTAAACACTTGGATGTCTGGCTGAACCACATGTGGCACACCGGACAGAAACACAGACTACAGAGACTAGTGCGTGTGTGATAGGGTGAACAATGACCACTTACGCTTGCCAGCTTGACACATGATGATGATGAACTTAGCATCCCGGCTCTGCATAGTTTTATACCAGGTATATTCCTACCACTGGGGTTATGGTAGTGTTGTTGCTGTCACATTTACTGACTGGCCTCGTGATCTGTTTGAAGAGTTGTTTTTTGTTGATTAACCTGGACTCCCAAGTGGATGCAGCCTAAAGTAGGAACATAATTCAATGGGGTTTTTTTTTTTCTTCAGTATTTAAATGTTGTCATAGGTATTTTAATGCACTGTTAACAGGATTCAGCCTGTAAAGCAGTTGTTATGCAGAACTTTGGCTTTGCAGCCTTATTGCTTCTGGTTGTTGATATATTTTTCTGTTGATTCCCACCACCTGCAGTCTTTATGATCTGTAATGCCGTCTTTCTTTCAGCCTAAATCACACGCAAAGACGGTGAGATGATCATTTATTTTCAGCAGATATGTGGCCTGCCATTATTTATATCAGTCTATCCAAGAAACACATCTAATTTCACATTGAAGCTTTCACTTGTTGAAGCTGCCAAAAACTGTGTGTTTATTTCCCCTATTCTATCTTCTTCATTTATTAAATCTATGTATGACAAGTTTAAGAACCTGCATTTGCAACCTTAGTTGAACTCTTTTGAGTCTCAAAGAATACTATTGCTAACACTGAGGAGTGATACGTTTATTTTATTACATAAAAACAAACACTCAGTAAACATTAGTTTAACAAATATCTTATTGTGACTACCAGTAAGCAGTTGTATTTTGCTGATGTATTCACAAAAATAAATATACCCACAAACAAAATGCACTCAAAAATATAAATGCACTCACTAATGTACAGACAAAAATAAAATGTATAAAGTTTATCAATGCAGTTAATTTTTATTTTCAATGCTAGTTGAACATCTTTTATTTACATCAGCTGTAGAATAAAGCATTTAAGTTCATTAAAAAGTAATTATGTTGTTTGATTTTGCTTATCAGTAGCATAAATAAAACAATCATTATGAATATTTTCAAATGCAGCAGTAGGCAATACATAGGTTTACATTCAATAGGGAGTGAAGAACAACAACAACATTGGCACTGCTTATAACCCTGTGCTTCATGTATGATTACCCCCCTCCTGTTTACCTTTCCTCCTGTAGCTTACACGTTTTCATAAATATTTATGGCTTTTTTTTTTTTTCTAACCATCTCTCTACCCAATAAATGTTTGTTGAAACACACACTTTGTACAGTATTGACATATACCAGTGCTTTTACTAATCAGTGACAAATGTACATGATCTACTGGAGATGGGTGCCCTTGTCCAGCTGTGGTATAATTATGCCTGAAGTTATTTTAAAGTGATATGGTTTCAAATGTGATTTCTTATGTTGTATGATGAGGTGCATGGGTTATGTTCTTGGAGAATATGAGGTTTCATACAAATATGTCATTCATATGTCGTTTGTGCAGAGTACTCAGTGTATATGATAGGAGGTTATTTCAAAGTGTAAGATTAAGCTTAATATTTAGAATACTTTAGAAAACCATTTCATTTGATTTAGGAGTTACAGCCTGTGATAATATTTGTCTGTGTGCTTCGTTCTAACAACACTTTGTTCCTATCTTGTTAGATAACTGTAAGTCATGAAATAAACTTGGTGCTTAAAATTCGGTTCAGTTAACTGCAATATCAAAACTGCACTTTAGTCATTAGCCATAGGTGCTCTAGTCTTACTTGTAGTCTGGCAGAGTATGGATACTGTCTGTGTTACTGAAAATATTCAATCAATGTCTAAAGACTAAGAAGTCATTGCTTAAAATAATGTTTGCCTGTGTTCTTTGTGCAGATGACAAGATCTGAGGAGCAGATAGATGCCCAGTAGCAACAATAAAAAACAAAACTGTACTTCTTTCTGAGACAATAAATAAGTTAACAGAAATAGAAAGTAGAACTGCTTTGCGTCATACTTTCAAAGAAAAAGCATAAGTTGTGCTGCTACGTTTGAATTAAAAATCCATAGCCAGAGTTCTAGATTATGCTGTGACCAGATTGTGGAAAAGGGGGGAGGGGGATGGGATGGGGGAGAGGAGGGATGTAATATTTGATATGAAAAAGGCAATAGCAGATCACACATGATGTGTTGCTTCTGACCAAGAGTTAATCTGGCATATATTCAGATATCATCGCAACAAGTTGAGAAAAACTTCTTACTAAAATGTTGCCTATTTGGTGTGGATGGATAATGCTGGACAGTAAGCAGTACAGTTGTGAAGAAATTGGAGGCAGTGAACTTTTTTTTTTTTTTTTGGAGAAATGTATAGAAATTCATAGCCAGAAAAAAAAAATGCTGATTATTTGATTGCTGCAAGTATTGCAGTAGCACTAATACAAATCAAAAGGCAGTGACAACAAAAACTTAATGGGCATATCAAGAATAAAGGTAGAGTATTCACAAGGCAAAAAAAAAAAAGTGGCAGAGAGTGGGTACTAGTCAGAAAAGACCAGGAAAACAAAGAAAGATGCTTGTGGAAAATCTTCACAGCAGGGCAACAAATAAACCTAAGCAATTTGAGCTTAATTAAAATATCAGATGACTAAGAATGATTGGAGATTTATAACAGCCAGTTGATTATCCCAGGCAAACAGTAAAAAGATTCTTCAAATATATAATGAAATCAAACATCTTACGTACTCCAAGGCTTTCCAGTGACTCAAGAGTTGTAGCCAATTGATTATTTTAAACAAATCATGATGTTTTCAGCAACAGACATAACAAAATATGTATACTTTTGTTAAACTTGATTTGTGTTCCTTGTTTCACTTGTTATATTTCCAGTTTAAATTATTGAGCAACAGTTGCTTGATATGCCTTTAATATGATGTTCCAAAATATACGCTTAACTGTGAGGTTTACCAGCCTGTATAGTAAGTTCAGTGGCAGTTTAAAGCTGGGCTCTTATTTTGTGAAAATATTTCATACACCAAGAAAATAATTTGGATTAAAGTTTTCTCATAACCTATTTTATTTCAGTCGAATCCGCAATTAATTTATTGTTTTATTAGTGATGAAAATAGAGGTGACTGTGATCATGTGCAAGTGGTGCAGTGGTGTATTTTTTGCACTTCTATGTTCTCAATCTGCACCTAGTCATGGTGAATTTGTTATTGTTGATTTAACTGATTTAAAACAAAAGATGGTTAAGGTATTCTCCAAGAACATTTGTGTTTTATTTACTTTGTAATTCTGCCCTTTTATGTAGTTACCTAATTTTGTTTAATGGTGTATTTGATACTGTGATCATTTGTAATTGGTACAGTTGTATATTTCTTGCTCTTCTATGTTCTCTATCTGCACCTAGTCATGGTGAATTCATTATTGTTGTATTAACTGACTTAGAACAAAAGATGGTGAAGGTATTCTCCAAGAACATTTGTGTTGTATTTACCATGTAATTCTGCCCTCTTATCTAGACACCTAATTTTGTTTAATGGTGTATTTGATACTGTGATTATCTATAATTGGTACTTACAGTGGTGTTTTTCTTGCTCTTCTATGTTCTCTATCTCTTCTCTTTTATGCTGTGCTGTTGGGAACAGGTGAAAAGTTTAAGCAGTCTTGGTGTGAATAATCCAGTGTATAGTTATTGTATAGTTGATAGGAGCAGAAGGCTGATCAAACCGGTGAGTTGTTAAGTGTGTTAGAGACACATGGGTAGAAATCTATATCAGGATAAGGGCCATAGCACATAACTTTTTTTTTTTTTTTAAAGTTGTGTATCCATTACGGGATGTTTGCTACCAACTCCAGCATTTATTGGCTGTATTTTTGTTTATTTTACTAGGCAATTTTACATTCATTATTTCAGTTAGCAATGTGCTAACAAAACAGTAGAAATATATGACTAAAATAAACTTTTCCTAATGTTCAGTTATTGGTTTTTGTTTAAAAAAAAGAGAATAAGATGTTGTTATCTGATAAAGATAAGAATAGGATAAAGTTCTTAATCAGTGATACGGATAAAATGCTTATAAGCAAATAAAACTTAAAACGTATGTTGCTATGGCCTTATTCATTGATAAATAATGAGTATGTATTGTCTCAGGAATGCTCCAGTAGAGACTGGTCTGCACACACTTTAGAGAACCTAGTGGTTAGATGTGTCTTCACACATTTGAACTAGAAATTCACATTACTATTTAGCACAGAAGACTAGTGTGTTAGCCATTTAATTGTTGTTGCCAATGATGTGCATAGATTTGTATATGTAGTATAAAAGTATGATCTGCCCCACTGTGGGATGTAAACTTATTTTAACAACACTTTTCCTCATGTTCTTGCTTTATGTATTATTCATAGTGAGTAGTGTGAGTAGGTTCAGAAACTTTAGTTGGTCAGTCCTCTGTATTTAGTCACTGACACATAATTTCTGTCTTTAAGGGTGTTTTGCTTGAAAGGTCTGGTCGTTTCAGTATGCGGACATTACAAGGTACCCAGAGTTCCTCGTTGTTGATTCTTCAGTTTCAGAAACTGAGACCGTATCTCATTTTTGTGTGCTCAAAATTAATTAAATTATGAACCTTCTTATCCACAGTTTCAACTGCATAACTGCTACCTACTCACATGTGTTGAGATATTTTGTTATTTATGGTTTTATTTATTTACTTTAGTCACTTACTAGAATTGTTGCCCTGTGACTTTTTGTAGATCTGATCAGTTTTGATAGAGAAAATACTAGTTTTGTAATAGAGGAAATTCTTTTGGCTAATATATCCCTTATGTTTCCCTGCCTTGATACAAGACTGTCTGTAATGTTTTCTTATTGCCTTCCTTTTTCTCCTTTCCAGTTATCAATTGTTGCAAGAAATACACTATTTTACAGTATGTTCAGGTTTTTCTCTTGTGATGATGTGGCTAAGTGTGTTCAATCTTGTTATCATTGATATCCATTTATGTCTTGAAAAATTAATAGCACTTACACATTTTCTATGGCCTTTGGTACTATGAACCTTTTTATTTTCCTTCTTGCATTCCTTTTTACCCCCTCTTTGCCAGTGGGCTAGAGATGGGAAGGCCACAGGCCTCTATGAAGTCTGTGATGCAGCAAATGTCTTCAACTGTTCCATGTGGCTTGGCTTCCCCTGGAATGCCAACCGGCCAAACCTAGGATCTCTCTACTGCACGTATAAAGAGCATGTCTGTAGCACATGTTTAGTATTCTGTGGTGTCTGCCCACATGAGCTAAGTTCTGAATCCCCAATCTTGAAGTTCTTGTGAATATGGCTGCAGAGTCTGGCGCGTGTTCAGTAGGCAGTCTAAATATAATGGTCTGTTTCTTTCTTGCGACAAGGTTGGATTGCTCTTCTGGCGTTGAGTTAGAGACTTTTGACAATAAAATTTATGAAACAAAATTACCAAGCTAGGCTTAATTCCAGCAGACAATGTATTGTGCTGAGTCATGACTTGTTTACCTCCCAGTATAACTTCCCAGCGGTTGTGAAGTTCCAGTAATGTCTTTTGCAAACCCCACTGGTTGTGTCTGAGCACGGACACTGGAAAGAGAACTCTGAGTTATGAGTTAGATTATCTTCATGGCACTCTGGACACACCCATAGGCGCTCAGATTCCCCTCTGAACATATTCATCAGCGTCGTGGGGTTAATAGTGCCAGCCCTATGTTGGTTAACAAGACTTCGTGTGTGTCCAATGTGCTTCTCATGCTTGGCTGTGCCGATCTGAACTCCAAATTCGCATATTCTTAGAAGTAATGTGGACACGTTGCTTCCAAAATCCTCAGAACGTCTTATCTCTCGAAGGGCAATGACAATGTCTGCGTGATCCATGGGCCGGCCATCTTCATTTAATGCAGTACCTGCCAGTCTATTAGCTCTCTCATTACCAACAACGCCTGCATGCCCTGGGACGAATATGAAAGTAACTGCACACACAGGAGAATTTTGCAATGACTTAAGCCACTGTCTGCGTAACCAGCCTGCCTCGACCTGCCGGATCATACTAAAAAAAATCACTCAGCACACACACGCAGGAATAGTCCTGTGATCCCAGCCACATGAAAGCCTGTGTCACCGCCATCACCTCCATCGTCATGCTGCTGGTGGTCACAGAGAAGGCACCGCTGGCTTCCTTAACTGTTCTGCCTTAAGAAGGAGCTGTAAATGTCCATGCACTCTTATGTCCTTGTATATCGGATCCGTCTGAAGATCACCGCATCTGTCTCATCTGACTTGTCACTGATAAGCGCACATACCTCGGCATTGACAGCAGCTGGATTCTGCTCCCGACAATTCCTATCGAGCGTCACAACACAGGAGAATGTGTTTGGGCGCTTTAGACTCTGGTATCCACTCCTCACCTGGATGGATGTCTGTAAGGCTGCAAACCTAGGATGTTGTCATCTTCTGCCCTACCCTGCCATGATTTGCCCCTTTTAAGCCTATTGCCCTTTTTCTTGGAAGAGCATGTAGTGCAAAGGGTGCTTTAGATCTGAGCTTATCTTGAGGTATGCACGAGCCCTCCAGATCTTGATCCTGTAGTTCATGGTAGGGAAGTTAAGAAGGTACCTCATTGCTACACAAGAGGTGTCTCCAGTGCACCCTAGAATAATGTGCATTGCTTCATTTTGCACCTTCTCAAGTCTTTCAATTTGAGTATGGCTGACAGTGAGGATGGAAAGAGCATATTCGATGGGAGAAAGTACAAGTCCCTGAAACAGAAGCAGAAGCAGTCTCTGCTCAGTGTTAGCGGCAGCCAGGACCCTCATTGCTGACAGGTCTTTGCATGCTTTTGTTATGACATGGTCAACTTGTTCTTTGAAGGATAGGCTGCGATCAAACCTCACTCCAAGGTAGGTCATCAGATTTGTTCTCGTCAAAATTTCTTCGCTACTTTCCACTGCTGGTAAGTCTGCCTTCACTATATGCGTGCTCAAGGAGAACCACGTTACTGAGGCCTTTGCAGGGTTGACATGAGCATTATAATCTGCACACCAGGAGGAGATGCGATTTAGTTCACTCTGCATTGACTTAGCAATCTCTTGACGATCTCTTCCATGTCCATATACTAAGAGGTCATCAGCAAATGACAAGATCCTGCCACTCCATGAAACTGCTGCTTAGTTATCAGCACTGTGTACATGTTGAATAGCACTGGAGACAGCTGAGAACCTTACGGCAATCCTGCACTGATGGTTATCGGTTCTGAGGACCAACAACCACACCTGAGTGTCACCCAACGGGTGATGAAGGGAGATACTCTAATCTAAGTCTTTATACCAACTTTATTCTGATATCCTTTTCAACTCCCAGATGACCTTAACATAAATGATTGAAACTTAAGAGATGAAACTCTCACAGAAGATTCACAAATGAGTCAACAGCAGAAGGAAAAACAAAACAATGCTCATTATATGGCTTCAGAGGGTTTGCTTGCTTGTGCACTAGTTGTCCAGGATTGACAGCATATATTGCTGTTATCAAGTGTTGTTAATTTAGTTAGCCTCAGATGTACTTTCTTCATGCGGCAGTCAAGCAACATATTCTTTAGTTTCACACATTTCTTGGGTGTATAAGTAACATGATGCATCGGAAACTATTTCTCCATCAATGTCGACACACATTTTACTGTTTATAGTTACTATTTGTTCCAAGTTTCTAGACAAGTATGTAAATTTGACCACACTTTTTGTTTCAATTGTAAGTCTGAATGTAAAACACATCTTGTTTCAGTTAGTAGATTGTTATTATAGTTATGTTGTCAAGTTGTTTGAAAATTTATTGAAAGCAAATATAGTTTAATGTCTTTCATGTGATTTTAATATTTCTGATTACTCAGATTTGCTGATGTTGGTAGTTAGAAGAAGCTTGTAAATTTCTGTGAAATACTAAGTAGAGTAAAGGACTCTTTTCCACGCTTTCAGGTGTAGTGGGCATATAGGGGTAGATTTATATTTTATAGACCGATCATTACTCGGTGGCTTATGGGGTTAACATCACGTTGGCCACCTTTACTTCCCGGGACTTTACCTGGTACCAATTTAAGGCTGGATCAACCTGGGAGCCAGGGTTATTTTTTGAAAAGGTCTGGCTTGGTCAGGACCTGCACACATGACCTCCCAACCCACAGGCAAGTGTCTAGCCACTACACTATGGCGGCTTCCTTGACATACTAAGAAAAATCCGCATGTGGGTTCTGTGGCCCCGTATTGGTGGAGCTGGATTTGTTTTTGTTTTTCTCTTCAAAAAATTCATTTGCCTCCAAGTCAACCTTGCCTTAAATGTTTACCAGGTAAAGTCCTGGAGAGTAGAGGTGGCCATTATGATGGGTTCGACACCACCCTGAATCTGGCCTCATAAGCCTGATGTACCACTGGCATGTCAAGGGGCCTTTACTTTACTTTAATTAGGTCTTTGTTGAAATAAGTTATGTCAGCCAGAAAGGATCAAATATTGAGTCTAGCGGTAAGCCTCAACACTGCCTGCCAACTGCTGTTTTAAGAGTAAAGACACAAGAAGATGAAGAAAAGGTCAAAAAGTGTTTCCATATACATGTCACAAGCATGATTTGATTCGTCAGTATGCACGTATGATGAGCTGAACTAAATGTTCAAATATTCATTGAGACAAAGATATTAGTGTTTGATGAATAAGTTTGAAAAATGTCCCCAGAAAATAAAACATCATGTATAGCTCACGGAAAAAAGACAAAATGTCTCCAGAAAATAAAAGATCATGAATAGCTTACAGAAGAAAGACAAAATGTCCTCAGAAAATAAAACATCGTGTATAGCTTACAGAAGAAAGACAAAATGTTCCCAGAAAATAAAACATCGTGTATAGCTTACAGAAGAAAGACAAAATGTCCCCAGAAAATAAAACATCATGTATAGCTTACAGAAAAAAGACAAAATGTCCCCAGAAAATAAAACATCATGTATAACACATGGAAGAAGGTTAGAGAAAGCTTGATCCCATGGTTTTTGGTCAGGCCATTTGATCGATCAAAGCAGTCTAGAAATTAAGTTATCCTTTCTTTTCTTGTATCTGTTGCTATTGTAATACTGCACTATGTACAAAACAAACACCTTTGATTTTATATATTTCAGTATAAATTAGTGTACATTTGGTTATTACCAATACTTTAGAAAAGGCAGCAATCTAAAAGAATGATTTAGTATTTTGAGGAAATTATGCAGTATTTAGTCTCTCATCATGTTCTAACTTTTAAAAAAAAAATGATTACACCGATAGTCTGCACTTAATTGTCTGACTTTGGTTATGAATTAATTATATTTCTTGCTTTTATTTTGTAATGGCATGAGTAAACACACACACACACATATATATATGTATGTGTGTGTGTGTGTGTGTGTGTGTGTATATATATATATATATATATATATATATATATATATATATATATATATATATATATATATATATATATATATATATATATATATATATATATAGTTTCATTATATTTTTCATTAGTCTGCTCTAAGTTTTGTAATATTTTCTATGTAGTAGTTTCTTGTTATTTCAAAAAGCTTGTAGTGTGTATATGTATGGGAATTGAGAATTCAGTTTAACACGCATGTTTTTCTTAGCTAAGTTGTGGGACAAGCACAGTGCAAAGTTAACCAGAATATAATTTTTGATAAATTAAAATATTGAATTTTACAAGTGCTGATAAATAAAATATCTTAAATTAATTTATTCTTGAGTTTAAAAAAAAAATGTATCAGAATTGAGCTAAACATTTTAAATAAAACATCAGTTTATTAATTATTGAAACAAATAATCTTGCGCTATCATTGCTGATTATTTATAATTATTATACACATTTCACATATTTGAAATCCTGTAGGGTACCTGGTAACATTTAATAACATATGTCTACAGTAACAGATGTCTATAGTAACAGATTCTGTAGTAACATATGTCTACAGTAACAGATGTCTGTAGTAACAGACGTCTGTAGTAACAAATGTCTGTCTATAGTAACAAATGTCTGTCTATAGTAACAGACATCTATAGTAACAGATGTCTGTATAACAGATGTCTCTAGTATAAGATGTCTATAGTAGCAGATGTCTGTAGTAGCAGATGTCTGCAGTAGCAGATGTTTGCAGTAACAGATGTCTGTAGTAACAGATGTCTACAGTAACAGATGTGATAACATTTCATTTTCATCTCATTTTTCAGATCCTGAGACGGCCAGTTATGGGTGTCCGAAGAATAGGCTCTCATCCAGTTTTGCCCCACTGTAAGATTTATTTCATTTTTTAATTGTGCTTAACATTCAAAGTTGCACATGAAACACACATACTAAAGGCATGACTACATTTAAAAAAAAGGAAAAAGTAAGTTTTTTGGGTAATTTATCTCACAGTCATTTGGAATATAACAAATTTTACAAACACAAGCAGCAAACATGTATTGATGTGTGCACTTATTGCAAACATTTTATAATGTATATTTGTGGGTCAGTGTAGGTATATTGTAGGATGTGTAATTTTTGGTGAGCAGTTTAGTGTGTCATCTATGTGTTGCTGGGTCCTAAAAGCAGAGAATAAGATCATGCGGCTATCCCCCGAATAACGGGCACATGTTATGGCGGCCAAAAACAGGGCCTCAGTCGCGTGTCAATTGCGCACTTCCGGCGACCTAATTTGGGGTTTTCCGGCGACTACCGCCACCGCCGAGAGTATCCCCCACGCCGCTCACGCGGCATGGATTGGGGCTAAACTAGATGGCTGGGACTCATGAGCAAAGCTGCAGAAGATGCGGAAGCTGCTGCTTGTGAGTCCCAGCCATCTAGTTTAGCCCCAGCCACGACGCGCAAGCGGTGTGGGGGATACTCTCGGCAGTGGTGGTAGTTGCCGGAAAACCGCAAATTAGGTCGGCGGAAGTGCGTAACTGACACGTGACTGAGGCCCTATTAGGGTGTTTTTGCGGCCGCCATAATATGTGCCCGTTATTCTGAGGATAGCCGATCATGCTCTGGCCTGCATATTGTGAAAGGGAACAAACTGCTATTTTTTTCTTCTTCCTTCTTTATATAGTAGGTGTTTGTATATGTATAAGAGTGTGTACGTGTTAATCATGTTTGTGGAGTTAATTCAAGATCTACCATCTACCAGATCTAACTGGTGGAGCTGATGGTGCTGTTAGACTGTGGGAATGGGGTCATGGCCAGCCAATCACAACACTGAGACAGCCAGGGTCATTTCCAAAGGTCACCAAAGTTCTTTTTAATGCTCAAGGCAATAAGGTATGTTCAGGATGAAAAGTATTAGAAGAACTTATTTTAGTGATAATGCTGAATGAAAATATAAAATGGGTCTTTAAATACAAAGATAAGGACTAGACTGATATAATCCCTAATTGACTTTTAAAATAGAAGCACAAAAAGTGTTTGTCTTACTATACAAGCAGTGATGCTACAATGAAAAGTGCAGAATAGATCTTTTCTTGCAGAAGTAGGGAATGTTAAGACTGAAAAATTCAGAATTTATCTGTAACTGAAATCATGTTTTTAATAAACTTGTATCAGAAAATATATTTTATTCATGTGCACTTATTGCTGTAGGTTTTCACTGCTATAAGTTGAATAGTTATTTAGTTAGTGAGATTCCAACATCACTGCATGATGGTTACCCCATAACTGCTCTATTTTTATGTGAGTGGGAATAACTCAGAATATCTTTTACTGTGATATTTGAAAACTAATGAAAAATAATATCTGTAAGTTAATGTTAAATCAAATCGAGCAGTTGTTATAAGTTTTGAACAACTACAGATTTTCTTAGTAAATCTAGAGGGAAGGAAAAGATGTGGATGTTGGATAGGAAATGCCATGAGAAAACATGTTGATGATGATGATGAAACTAGAACGTTCTTGCACTTCCATCCTTAGCCAAAGAAATAACGGCAGATTAAAAATATATATATATAAAGATAATTTGAGAGCCAGGTGAAAAATGGAGCGCACAGGAGAAGCTGAATAAAGTGGCCAAGGATGGGAAGATTTGGTTTGAGTTTGAAGACTTATTTTCATTGGGGGATTAGAGGCCAGAAGAAGAAGAAAAATTGTGTTAATGTGGTTGCTAGTCACATGGTATATATTGATTTTGGTGTATATCAGAATCATGAAATTCATCAAAGAGCAACATCCAAATTTGGGAAACAAAAATGCTGAGCCCAGTTTAGTGAAGAAAGCAGTCAATGGAACAACTCAGCAGCATGTTTCCACAGGACAGCCGGACAAGAATCTTCACAGGTGGATCAGCAGAAGAGGCAGCGACAACCGATTGCGGAACAGGTGTTTACATTAAACACCCAGATACCACAACTGTGTGTTTGGCAGCTCCCACTGGATGAATTTGTTCTGATTACAAGGCAGAGCTCTCGGCCCTACTGATGGCAGTTCAGAATATGAACAAATCTGCAAACCCCCACAGGCAAGATGGTTTTTCTGACAGACTCATTGTCAGCCATACAAGCTCTATGGTCCATAACTACTGACAGCACACTACGGTATAACAAAGAAACTTGCTATGTTGTCAAAAAAGCTAGAAACTCACCTTCATTGGCTTCCATCTCACTGTGACATCAAAGGCAATTAGAGCCCTGACGCTTTAGTCAAGGAAGGCAGTGGCAAACCATAAATCTACCAGCCACTATCTTTTCCAGAAGTCAAAACCCTTATTAAGAGAAAATCAGAAACAGATTGAAAAACCAACACAGGTTATAACCATGAAAAAGATTTCCTTAAACAACTGAACAGAACAGACCAAATCACAGTTTTTGGCTTAGGCACTGGACACTGCAGACTCAGCAAACATTCATATTAATCAATTACAAGCTAGACAGCTCTCTGCCAGTATCGTCGTGCCGAACATACTCCAGAACATGTCCTGCAAGACTGTCCTTTCTCAGCTGAGCTGCAAAGAAGCTCAGTAGACCAGACAACTAAGCTTTAGAGAAACCTAAAAGACCTTGAGATGACATTCCAGTTTATGTCCCACATAAAGTGCATGACCAGAAATCACTGAAGAAGAAGAAGAAGAAAGAGCATGTAGAAGATCTTCTTCTTCTTCTTCTTCTTCTTCACGTTCACCAGCTGTAAACTCTAGCGGAAGGTTCTGGTTGCTCGTCCACTACTGAACTGCAGTCCTGCTCCAGAACCTGAGTGTTGCGTGTGCATCAGTTTTACAGATCTCATTCTCTTGAATACAGACTGTTGGTTCCTTGCCTCTCCGGCAGATGCACTCCGACTTCAAAGGAAGCTCCCCAATTAGTCGTCTCTTACGACATGCTTTTGGGGAGGCAGTGGGTCTATTCTTGTTTTCCCCACAATGGGGCCCCGGAACCCACACGGGAGTGTAGAAGATCATTACCTCTCCTCGATGAGGTAACTGACAGAAGAAAAGAAGAAGAAATAACTTACACTTATCTGTTGTATGTTGATGGGTCTTATTACTTTTTCTGTTGTAATAAATACATGTTGTGCCCTTACATTACAATAACAGAATACAGTATTTTCTCTTAACTGTTAAATAATCTAGTGCTGTGTGAGTGACACAGAAGGTGGAATCTGTCTGTGGCAAGTAGGATTGGGAAGCAACTACAGCAAGGCAATCATGGTAAGTGTTTTTATATGTGTGGATCTCAGTAGTTATCAGTGCTGTCATAAAAGATTTGCTTTATCTCTTACTTCTTTTACTACAAAGCACTTGCTTGTTAGTAAAACAAGGCTGGGATATATACTCTATTTAAGAAAAAAAAAAGGGAAACATATAGTTCTGGCACATTTTAATTAGTTGACAAGAAAACCTGTGGCTAAAAACTATTGAGGACCCAGATGCAAAAGAATATTATTTGATTGTTTGACCCTTAAGTATTCTTTTTTTTTTTGCAATTTAAACAGTTTAGCTCATTAAATTAAAGAGATTGTGAGTGTAAAAATTATGTTCTTTTCAGTAGCTATGAATTTGTTTTTTAGTAGTATGTATTAGCTACTGTATTAACTACATTACTTAAAAAAAAAAAAAAAGTTTCCAAACTTACAGAGAGGAGTGTTTCAGTGAGTCAGTTCCTGCTATCTATACAGTGAAGATTAACTGCAATGGATGTTTACTATTTCTGCATGAGCAGTTATTTTCATATCATGCTGCTACTCATATTGCTTTTAAAATGATATTTCTACAATCCCTTGCTTCAGAGCCTGCAGTGTCATAATAAAACCACCAGCGACTTCCAGTTTGTTGGGTCGTCTAGCCTGATTGCCACAGCTGGCCAGTCTTCAGAGCACAAGAATGTCTGCTTGTGGGACACACTGCTTCCTACACGCAGCTCTTTAGTTCACTGTAAGTAAATACACGACTGATGTCGGGACCTCTATCAGATGGACCTTGGGGGGGGGGACACATTTTAAAACTGCTGCACTCATGATGGATGTTTTCTGTGCAAAATCTTTCTTTGCAGCCGGTGTACATTTCAAAAAAAATTTTTTTATTTTAAACCAGCTTGTTGTGCTTGTTGATCCACTTCTGGACTTTGGTCTTGTTCCAGAACTTAAGTTTTGCATCTGTTTTAAAGGTCTAGCTTGTGTGCAGAGCATTGGTTCCTCATCTCTCAGGCAGATGTACTCCAGCATCAGGGAAACTCCCCTAGTTAGTCATCCTGTATGACATCCTTTTTAGCGAGGCAATGGGTCTTTCCCCCAGTAAATGGCACACCAGAACCCAAGCAGGAAGGATTTTTATATTTTAAATTTGTAATTCTCAAAATTGACCTTGGCTGCCAGGTTCAGACAAGATCTGCCAGTTTCTCTAAAAAAAAATATGAAAAATACAGGGCTTGAATATGGACAGAAAAGAAGCAGCAAACCAAGAAAGCCTGGATACACAGCTAGGCTGTCTGAACAGGCCTGAAACAGGGAGAGGTACAGGTAATGTCCTAGGAAATAAAGGCAGCCAGCACGATATTAATTACCTTACTCATCGAGTTCTGGTAAAAAAACACACAGGTCTAGCACTATATGGCTGATGTTCCAGTGGTATGAGAAGGGTCCTTTCCCTTTTTTGGTTTGAATAATCAATTTGTTCTAATTCATCACTGTCATCAAGCGCCTTGCCAACTGGTGTAGATCAGGCCTATTGAAATGGCGCCCTACGGGCCAAATCTGGCCCGTGGAGGTCTAAGAAGTGGCACACGGATCATTGGCAGTTATATTGTTTTAGTGATCTTTCGACGCTGGGGCTCAGCAGACCTCTGGCCTATGAAAATCCCAATTTTCACAATTCTGGCCCCCTGATGTGACAAGAGATGGTCAGAAATCGGCTTTTGTTGTTATCATAAACCTGTTTCCATGAATCTGTTCAGTTGCCATGACATTTTCCATCCAGTTTTTATTTTTATAATGTGACTCACATATGATAACTGTTGCTTTCTCATCACTGTGGTAAGTTGTCTTTGTGTCTTAGCCACTTTTAGAACATCTCACTCAGTCATTCGGCGCGTCCTTTACAGAACCTTGCTCTCTTCATGGCTCTCCTGAAAGTCTGTCTTTCTCTAGCCGATTCTCCAGCCCTGTGTGCTTTCAAAGCCTGTGCGTCTTCATAGAGCATTTAGAATACTCATTTTGACTCAGAAGAAAGACAAGATAGATATATAATCCAACTACTACTGGTACTATGGACATTCATAGTCTTTGCTGGCTGCTGAAGATGGAAATGGAGCTTGTATGGGAATGTAATGTATGTTCTTACTCAACACAAAATATAAAAAATGTGAGCCTAGCATCATATTCCTGATATGCCACTTACCATAATAAAGGGTCCTTTACTTAGATTTCTTAAGTGGAATTTGCTAGCTTGCTTGTGTCTTACTAGATTTCTTAAGTGGAATTTGCTTGCTTGTTTGTGTCTTACTAGATTTCTTAAGTGGAATTTGCTTGCTTGCTTGTGTCTTACTAGATTTCTTAAGTGGAATTTGCTAGCTTGCTTGTGTCTTACTAGATTTCTTAAGTGGAATTTGCTAGCTTGTTTGTGTCTTACTAGATTTCTTAAGTGGAATTTGCTTGCTTGTTTGTGTCTTACTAGATTTCTTAAGTGGAATTTGCTAGCTTGCTTGTGTCTTACTAGATTTCTTAAGTGGAATTTGCTAGCTTGCTTGTGTCTTACTAGATTTCTTAAGTGGAATTTGCTTGCTTGCTTGTGTCTTACTAGATTTCTTAAGTGGAATTTGCTTGCTTGTTTGTATCTTACTAGATTTCTTAAGTGGAATTTGCTAGCTTGCTTGTGTCTTACTAGATTTCTTAAGTGGAATTTGCTTGCTTGTTTGTGTCTTACTAGATTTCTTAAGTGGAATTTGCTAGTTTGCTTGTGTCTTACTAGATTTCTTAAGTGGAATTAGCTAGCTTGCTTGTGTCTTACTAGATTTCTTAAGTGGAATTTGCTTGCTTGTTTGTGTCTTACTAGATTTCTTAAGTGGAATTTGCTAGCTTGCTTGTGTCTCACAACATCAATGTAAACTAATTTCATTTTTTTTAAATCCACTTACATATTGTAATTCCCCTTTGTAAATAAAAAGAATGCAGCACTCTATAAAATCTGTTGAAAGTAGTTTTACTGGCTTCCAAAAATCTACCCTGATGATATAAAATACATACAGAGCACCATTTGTTAATGCACTGAAACCATTCACATAAAATTGTTTAGCAGTTTTTAAACGTACAGACTGATGATTTTTCAGCCTTTCAGTGCCATGAACAAGGGAGCCCAGCCCTTGTCTACGCATCTCGTCAGCATTTGCTTATCAGTGGAGGGAGAAAAGGAGAAATTTGTATCCTTGATTGTTATCTTTGGCTCATGTTTTAGTTTGTGTGTTGTACTTTTAATGTTTCTTTAGCTTAGCAGTGATTTTATGATTATAACTAGATAGTGACTTTTAGTGACAGTGGATAAAGGACATGACTGAAAGAGAAATAATTTAAGATGTGTTATTTTGTCACACTTAGAAATGACTTAATTCCTGTTTATTTGATGAGACTTTTATTATGTTTACAGAATGGAAAGTTTCATCACTGAAATTAAACCCCCCAAAAATTTTTGTTCTGGTGTCTACATCTTTCATGACCTGTTTTGTAGGATAGTTATTTGGAAGGGCTATGGTATGGTAGCTGTCTTCTCCCTCTGTATCTCTCTGTCTCCCCCCACCCCCTCCCACTTCTCTCCATTTAACCCCCCCCCCCCCCCCCATTTTTTTTTCTCTGTTGTGCACCTGCAAAGTGAAAGATATCAAAGATAGACCTTGAATACTAGTTTATAATATAAAAAATATGCATTGTGCATATGATATAGAATTGATAGCTGCAAATTCACAAGCTCTGCAACAACTGTTGAAAAGTGTAGTTATAGAGAGTAAAAAAAAAAAGGACACTTGTGAATAGCAAGTAAATCGACTCTATCTTTAAATAAAGTATAACATCAAATATAGTATTAGAGCAGTAGGAAAATTGAATGTCAGAAACATGGTACTCAAATCCTAAATCAGGCACCTAATCTGGTGCAGTATTGGCTCTTGGAAGTGTTCAGACAAATCAGGAAGAGCTTGAAAGCAACAGAGATCAAATTTCTTATGCTGATATGGCAAATACTTTGGAAAGCCTAGAGTAACTAAACATGATTGCCCGCAAAAGGCTTCTGAAATGAAAACATTATATGCAACAAGAATGAAGAGACAAACAGTATTCTGTAATGATTTCTTCTTCTTTATTCATTGTCTGTAGGCTGTGGCGAAAAGTCCTGGCTGTTCGTCCATGTGGACTTTGGCTCTGTACCAAGGCCTGAATTTGCATGTACTTCCATTTTACTAGCTTATTTGTGTGCATTTGGTTGTTTCTTGTCGCTCAGGCAGATGCACTGACTCCAACTTCAAAGGAAGTCCTCAGTTAGTCAACTCCTACGACATAATTATTTGGGAGGCACTGGGTCTGTTTATCTTACCCCTCATTGGGGTCCCAAACCCACAGAGGGATAATAATTTGACAAGAAGCAAAACTTGTCTCATATAAACTATTTGGTTGTTTGGCCATCATTATATATTGTTAGTTTCAAACATGGCTCGTTTCTACAGAAGAGCTGATGCGGTAACAGACTTAAAGAAATGAAGAACTTATTTAGAAAAAGCGAACAAAGTATCGTTAAACACTCCCTGCCCCAAAACATCATTGAAGTAAGCGAAGAATAAGACGTCCATGATTGTGTTAGTATTTGTAAGCATTTGGTTATCAGTTGACAACTTAATGTGTATTTCATGTATGTTTGTGTATGTGTGAGGCAAAAAGATAGACCAGAGAGGTTTTTTTTTTTACTGTGGAACAGAAATGAAAATATGTGGATGAAGTCAAAAACCAAAAGAATTTCTCTTTTGTTTAAAGTTGCCAATCTCTCTTTGATATTCCTTCACTTGTACCTAGGCATATTTGACCTACGCCAGCGTAAACTCAAACACACATTTGTGGCACATGATGCTCCAATCAAATGTCTGGCCTTGGATCCTGATGAAGACTACTTCATCACAGGTTCAGCAGAAGGGGACATTAAGGTACAGTAATCTTGTGTTTAGAGCTGTGATTAGTGCGCTCAGTTATCTACACAATAGTTGTGTGTTACATGCTGTGGTAGGGCAGTAGTAAATATGCTCACTTAAAGTAAAGATCCCTTTTTACACCTTAGGAGCATCGGGCATATGGAAAGAGGGTCCCATATTTTTACAGACCAATCGGCAATGGATGGGTAATGTGGTCAGCATTACGCCGGCCGTCTTTGCTTCCCCAGGACAGCCATCCTGGTACCCATTTAAGGCTGGGTCGACCTGCGACGCCTCATACCATGATACAAATTCACGCAGCCAGCAGTGGGTTTCAATCGCGGTGAGTTGGACTTGCAACGCCTAAGCCACGGACGCCGCCACATGCTCACTTACAAACACATAAGTTGTGTATTGAGCTGATACATCAGTAGTTAGTGTGCACACTTACCGATACAGTAGTTGTGAATTCAGAGCTATTTTTGTAAGCACACATTCCTACTAAAATGTACTAAGAGTTTAGCTCTCTGTATGAAACTTCATCTACCAGTTTACTTAGAGCTTCAGTGCAAGGTAAACTGTGGTAGTCATATGACAGAAAGTTTCTTTTTCAGCATAGGAGTTAGGCAGGGAAAATACTACCATCCTTTTTTTTCAGTGTGACCATTTACTGGCTGATGAATAAAGTTACAAGAAATAGAAACAGGTTATCAGATATTAAACTTACCTCAGTTTTAGAGGATGTGGGCTATGCAATTGACATCAGTCTAATATCAGTTCGCTATATGGATGCTCAGGAAAAGTTTTGACATTGGCCCTTAAGATAGAAGTCAGGATAAATGCCAGTGAAATGAAAGTAATGAAAAATAATCAGAAAACATAAAATTATCTTAAACAATGAAGCAATAGAAGAAGCTGAAGAATTTATGTGTTTCAGAAGTGAAGGTTACTCCAGATGGGATTCTGTAAAAAAAAAAAAAAAAAAGTAAAATTGAGAATTTAACAAAACAAATCAAGCATTTGCCAGGCTTAACAATATATGGAAGTCAAAGGGCCTTAGTTTGAAGATAAAACTCAGATTAAATGTCAGCAATTTAGGGAGTATTATTATACTGCTGAAAGAGAATAGCAGGAATCTCATTCGAACTAGACTTTTCACAATAAATGTTTAAGGAGAATCCTGTGAATTTGTTGGCCCATCAAGATCACAAATGAAGAACTGAGGAGGATAACAAAATGTTCATCACTGGCAAATGTTATCAAAAGGAAAAGATGGAGATGGCTTGGACATGTTTGCAGAATGCCTCTTGATACTCTGGTAAGAACAGCTGTCTGCTGGACACCAGATGGAAGAAGGAGACATGGATGGTAAAGGAAACCTTGGGAAGGACAATAGAAAGACAAAATGAAGAAGTATAAAACGACATGGGATACCACAGACAGAAAAGCATCAGACCAGTAGCAATAGAGGTCACTTGTGAATACCTTGTATGTCAGCAGCACCATGAAGAGACCACAGATTGATATACAGACAGATTACAATGGAATGGTCAACCGTCTCCATGTTTTTTCTATTACTTTATGTTTATGTGGAATATTCAAAACAGTCATGACAAGAATTAAACCAACTGTTTTGGTTTTTCAACAGTCCAGTCAATCATTCTCTTGCCATCTCCATGAAAAAGGTTGGCTGTTATAGATCACTGTGCCTCTGGCCCTGGTTGTACTCTTACCTAGACAGCCAACATTTACTGGCATCAAATACTGGCTTCCTATCATTTAATGGTTAAAGATGACTGCTCAAGACACGGCTAATTATGGAGTGCAGTTACATATTCATGACCCCCCCCAACTTCTGCTTTTGCCATTAAATGTAATGATGTTGAGAGGAAGAGTGCGTCCAGCACTTGAGGAGCAGCACTGGCTTGAATCATTCCATGTGGATGTAGATTGTCTTCAGTGTCTCCTCCTTGGGTGCCCTCTTGCTGTCAGACATATGACACCATGTTAATTTCTTCTTCTCTTCCTCCTCCTCCTCTTCCTTTTCTTCTTCTTCTTCTTCTTAATTCTTTTTCTGTTTCTGCGTTTGCCATTAATAGTGTGTTTAGCACATTGTGTTTGGATTAACAGCTAGGCTATGATATCTGCACCGTTCATCTCAACACATCTGATTCCAGGTAAACTACTTTTTACAACACGCTTTCCAGGGGCTGTTCTTTTTTCTTCCAACATGGGGTCCTGGAACCCACATGAAAAGGCTTCATGGGCCGGGCTCAGTCTCCCGATCATTATGGCTAAGCATCAATCCAGTTTCATAAAAAATTTGATAAGTTATCAGAATTTTCTGGGTTGAAGAAGTAATAAGAAATAGAAATGACTGCTTAGCCTCATATAATGCGGTGCAGAATATTTGTTTGCCTAACACTTGGCAGCCCAGCAGTAATATTTGCAACCAAACTGCCTTAATCTTGATGATGAACCCTGTTTTACCCATCTTGTTGATGAACCCTGTTTTACCCATCTTGTTGATGAACCCTGTTTTACCCATCTTGTTGATGAACCCTGTTTTACCCATTCCTAGGTTTGGGGACTGAAGATTCACCAGCTCATCTTTTCCTTTGTTGGAGAGCATAGCAAGGCTACCTTCTTCAAGAATGTCGGCTCCACATCTGGCGTGGCTCAGGTTCAGATGGGACCATTTAATCACCTGTACTCATGTGGGGTTGATGGTTCCATGAAGTTCCGACAGCTACCTGAGCGAGATCTTGTTGAACATCATTGGGCTTAGTGTGGTATAAGCAAACCAGACATTTTAAGTAGTTGTAGATTCTATTTCAAGAAAAATGGGTGTGCTTTTGTTATCAGCAATGTGGACTAAAAATGTGTCTCATGTCTATATCAGACAAGTAGAAGTGTGTACTTTTCTCAGAAAAATGTTATCATTGTGAAGTTATATTGTAGGTGATTGGAATAGTTCCCTTTAATGATTTTATGGTACAAGATCAGTGTCAACATTTCCCTGCATGCAGTTCTATGGTTCAGATGGTCAAATGTAGTTTTAGTAAATACAACTTTTAAAAAATATGCTCAAACAAGTTAGGAAAGTGAAAAGATAATGCTTCTGACATATACTCAGGGGAGAAAGAGAGAGAGAGCTAACATTTGAACAGACACTAATAATGGGAATTAGCAAGAGAGAGGAAAGAAAGGGATAAATGGAACTTAGAAAACAAGGATTTACACTACATTGGAGAGTAGAATGATGGACAGAAGATATCGAGGCTGACCTATGCTACAATATAAAGATATTGCCAGACAATAGCAACAACAGTCCTGAAATCACATGCTCCAATTGCTTCTTAACATGGGTGGGTCTTGCTAGTCACTCTCACCATCATCATTAACTGTGAGTTCTATGCTTCCTCATGGCAGAATATAACACTGTTGTCCGTAAAGATAAAAATTTGCCAAAACAGTGGAGCGATTAAAATTCCATAATTAGACTTCCAATAAGTCTGATAAATAAATAGAGAAGTAAAAAACTCCATTAACTGATATAGTTTGACAAAGTATATCATCATCATCATCATAAACCACTTCTGCCATTAAGTGTCATGGGGAGGACTAATTTGCAATCGAATGCACTCTGGCTGCCAGTGGCTTTTGTCATGCTGTGAAGGCATGGAGTTTCTTTAATGTTGTGGATCCCCATTTTTATTTAATGTTTATATAGACCGAATATCTAAAGAAGTAAGTTCTTATACAGACTGACTGCCCATTACTGCTTTTATTATACCACTTTTGCTGTGGGCATGAGGATCACTGAGTCTGAGGATTTACAGCCGCATGGCTAGTGCTGTCGCCACGAATGTGCAGGTGAGGATTTACAGCCGCATGGCTAGTGCTGTCGCCACGACTGTGCAGGTGAGGATTCACAGCCGCATGGCTAGTGCTGTCGCCACGACTGTGCAGGTGAGGATTTACAGCCACATGGCTAGTGCTGTCGCCACGACTGTGCAGGTGAGGATTTACAGCCGCATGGCTAGTGCTGTCGCCACGGACTGTGCAGGTGAGGATTTACAGCCGCATGGCTAGTGCTGTCGCCACAACTGTGCAGGTGAGGATTTACAGCCGCATGGCTAGTGCTGTCGCCACGACTGTGCAGGCGAGGATTTTATTTTGCCCCCGACAAAAAAAAAAAAAATCCCTAGCCTTACTGAGGATTTGAATCCGGGTCTCCTGTTTGAGAGCCCAGTGTTCTAGCCCCTCGCCCAGCTGTTCCTCTCTAAAACAGACAAAGTATGTAATTAGTTTCAAACAGAAATGTTTCAGAGTGCACTCATGCAGGCAAATGGGATTAAACTTTGCAAGAGACAGAAATATACTGATGATTAAAAACATATCTGAGTTGTTGTAGAGTATCCTTCAACATAGAATTATGTACAATATGTATGTTCTTTACATTACATCTGCTATAATTTGTGATAATCATTTTGTGTGATGCCTGTAAAAATTATACTGTAAACTGGAAGTAGTTAGCATACATACGCTCTGTTGTACCTGGAACTTTTTATTATTAAATTACAGAACTTTCTATAATGAATTAAATATTTTGTAACCTATCTATGGTTGATGTCTTTGCATTTTATTATTAAGTGATTGTATGCTTTCTTTGTTGTTTTCTACATAGCATCTATATGTTGAATCATATTAACATGGGATTTCAAACCAGTTTATTATGGTTCACCCATATTGCCTAAGGGAACAACTAAATCTCCACAAACTGTGACATTGGTAATGAATTCATAATTGAAGACTGCAGTTTTGGGTCTACAGAGATGGTTCAGTTACCTCTTTCATGTATTAGAAAGACCTCTGTATGTATGTGTGTTTGTGTATATGAAATTGAAGCCTATCATGTCAAAGATTCCGTAGAAAAGTTGTAGTGTAGGACAATAATTTGTATAATTACCAGCATGAGGAGGACCCGGAAAACTCATATGCACAACTTGTATAGACCTCGAGATATATTGTTTGTTTACATTTGTCTGTCTGAAGCTGATCATATATGGATTCTGTAGAAAACCTGTGTACCACCAGAGGTCTTGTCTGTAATTTCAAGCATGAAGAAAACCGCAGCCAGCTCCAGATATAAGAGGAAGAGGCTACAGCTTAAACGGGTATTCCCATTTTTGTGAGGCTGGCGTGGCCGGTCGGTGGTAACAAATGTTATCGAATTGAATTACAGTTTTATTAATTTGCAACATGTGTTATTGAATATATTATAATTTTGAAGATAAATAAATGGGCTCTTAGAAAATATTTATATATAAATCTACTCGATAACAGTGGCTACCATGGACCGGCCACGCCAGTCTCACAAAAACGGGAATGCCCATTAGCTGTACAGCCTCATATCTGGAGCTGAAGAAAACCTGGGAAACTATTGTGTACAATTATTTGATGTATCCAAGGTACCACTGGCTTTTGTGTGTGTGTGTTGGTGTTCATATGTTTGTTTGTTTGTTTGGAGCTTATTATTTCAAGATTCTGTAGAAAAATTACAATGAACTTTAAGATACTGTCTGTAATTACCAGCGTTAAGAGCCCTGGGAAAACTAATGTTTACAACAGTTTAGGCGGATGACAACAATAGCATTAAGTGAGATAGCTTTCAAGAAAGAGGGAGGAAAACAAATTATAAGCCTTAAGTGACCATGCTTATAAGCAAGAGGGAGGTACTGATTGCTGCTTATGTTTTGGCAAAGCAAAGCATATTTTCATATTTCAGTTAACTTATTATAGACTTATTAACTCATGGCAAATTCCAGTCCTGTCACATAGAAATGCATTGAGTTTTCTCTTTTTCTGAAGTTTTTTTTTCCCAACCATGCTACATATAAATAACTGTGCAGGTATGTTTTTTTTTTAAAATTGTTATCGTTGTTATTCATAATGTACACTGCACACTCCAGAGACATACTCACAACTCCGTTCACAATGATTACCATTAGGTTGTGGCATGTTCTGAAATTTTAATACAATAAGACAAATCTGTACAGGATTTTAACCAGTTTGAAACTTTATATTTGTTCTCTGTTATTTATGAATGCATGTTTTTCTTTTCTACTTGAAACAATGTTGTTAATGGAAAACATGGCTGAAAATAGTGTTCTGTGTATTGTGTAAATGGCCATGTGAATTTTAATGGATTGATATTTGCTTGCTAACATTGCCTTCATCCTGTGTTGTGAAACTTTCAAGTCCAGAATAATGGAATTGTATAGGAAACTGTATAAACTTAGAATAAATGTACTCTTTCTATATACAGTTACGTCTAACATTAGAATTGTAAATGATATTTATTTATTTACTCAGATATAGTATGTATCTTCTGTTATATGTGTATGTATGTTGTTTATCCTCTACAGTTTCATTTCAGTTTATTAGCAACAAATTCTGACAACTTTTGCTCAGGTGTGGCGTTGTTCATAATTATCTTTCAACTGCATCAGCTGTCAGGCTCAAGTCATTGTCGTAGACATTTGTTTGTGTGGGTCTGGGACCCATTTTAGTTAGGGAGTAATAGACTCATACTCCCCCCCCCCCCCACCCCCCCCCCCCCCCCAACCTCCCACCTCCACCAATAAATCTGTTTAAGAGGTGACTACTTAGAGATTAGCAGAAATGAAAGTGTTGGACCAAAAGGTTTAAATATCCTGACCTAGCTGTGAACCACAACATAACATGCCAGCTGCCCTTTTAGGTTCAAATACAGAAGAAGAAGAAGAAGAAGTCACAGTTACAGTCACAGAAGTTTTCAGAATATAAATGAGAATGCTTTTTTTAAAGCTACTTGAGAATGATATAGGTTTCTGTTTCACAGAATTGTTCTTGAAGCTTGTCACTACTTGGAAGGAACCACAAATTTAACTGCATTAATTTGCAGTTGTACAAATATGTGGACATTATGGTGATTAACAATTAGCTATTCTTTCTACTCCAGGTAAATGTTACTACAGTAATTTCAATTTAAAGTCTGTGCACCTTTGAGTACTCAGCTCTGAAATTTCATGAATTAAATAATATAATTATGGAACAGAAAAATTAACGTAACAGTTCAAGCAGCAGGGGTAATGCAACGGAAGCTCAGAAATGTAACCACATATAGAGAAACATGGTACAAGAGAAAACAACAAACATATATATGCTTGGTTGCTGAGTTCAGTATCAAGTTGGTACATCCCGTGTATGCTTTTTATCCTTTGCAATTTTTAGTGCATATTTTCATGCCATTTTGACTGTATTTATGACATATATTTCTTCCCAATAGATAGTTTTACTGCAGTTATCTCTAAAGATCTAACAGTTGAGAACACTTTTCATTAAATTAAAATTTCCTTTTTATAAATTCTTTTTTGTTTTGTTTTGGAAAGTGTGTACGTCATTAAACAAAAAAATTAGAATTGACAAGCTAGATATATCTGATATATTTTGAGTACAATAAGCTGTTTGAATGCTTTTTTTTGGAAAGTGATTTATGTAGAATAAACTAAACAATTTTGTCCTCAAATCATCCTGACTGCGTATTGAGCCATTCAGTCAGTAAAGTATATGGATCCCCTCTTCAGGAGTTTCCTCAATTTGCAGCTGACGGCATCAGTTCTTAGTTAGCTTACTATTCTCCTTGGTGTGCTGCATAATACTGTTGTCTGACTTCATTCCTTTCAAAGGAGCAAATGCTAGATGTTATCAACTTCCACCACAAAGGCATAGCGGAAGCAGACC